TTTGAAAATTAATTTACTTATAAAGTTTGTAAACTTATGTGGTATAGTAGGATAGATGTGTTATTTCTTTTTACCCGACTGCCAAAGAAGGAGGGTAATGTTTTTCGAGTGTATGTAAGTATGTATGTATGTCTTTTCCTTTGTGACCACCTGTAGCCTAAACGGCTTGATGGATTTTGATGTATGAGGTATCGTTAGATTTGTCTTGATTACGGGAGTGTCATAGGATACATTTTATCCTAAAAGTCCCACGGGATAAAGACATAATAATATTTTTTCTAAATTTCCCTTTAAAAAAATATGTATGCGGTATCATTAGATTCATTTCAATCACGGGAGTAATTAATATAGGATACGTTTTTTCTCAAAATTCCCACGGGAACATGTTAATTCTGCGTCAACGCAAAGCAACTCATGCGTTAGCAAGCAAAAAGATAGGGCGTGGCCTGGCATGCGGCGCGCGGCGCGGTGCGGAGGGGGATATGCTCGAGTATACAGCCCGATTGCGGGCACACGCATGAGGGCACACGTCGTTGACGATAGTCTTCTACATCTACAACATTTTCGTTAAATAAAAACAGCTAAAAAGTTATAAATAAAAAAATTATTATTAAAAAAACAAAATACCCGACTGCACACTAAAAAAAGAGTAAAACAAGCCCCACAATAATATTGATCAATCAAATGCTAAAAACTAATTATGTAATACCGTTTAAACAATACCTATATTAAAATACACTACAATATGTGTTCGTAATCGATAGTTAAATAAACAGAAACTTATTTTGAATACAAATTTACTGAATATAATTTATAAATGTTGATGGAAAGCATCGCAGGCGGGGACCACCTTGACCGCCACCAACGAAAATTCTGCTAAATGGTGCACAACCGAAATGACTATAAATAAGCCTCTGTTGGTCCCCGCCTGCGATGCTTTCCATCAACATTTATAAATTATATTCAGTAAATTTGTATTCAAAATAAGTTTCTGTTTATTTAACTATCGATTACGAACACATATTGTAGTGTATTTTAATATAGGTATTGTTTAAACGGTATTACATAATTAGTTTTTAGCATTTGATTGATCAATATTATTGTGGGGCTTGTTTTACTCTTTTTTTAGTGTGCAGTCGGGTATTTTGTTTTTTATACATATTTCTTATGTTATACTTAACCAATAGTGTGAGATCATACATACTAGCTTATATTGTTGTTTGTTTTGTGTGGAGTCTTTATAGTGTAGTAGGAATATTTAGTTAACCTTTATTACATTGAGAGGGGGAGTTGAAGAACAATGTAATAAGTAGTTAGCCATAGTTAAGTATGTTCTGTCTCTCTCAAATATAGCTCTCTCTGTCTGTCATCTGTCATGGCGGTTGTTAAGGTTAAAAACTGTGTGTGCTGCGTACAAATAAATAGATTTCAAACGTATTTTGGTCTACTTTTCATTTATATTCATCGGATATAAAACCCCAAAGCGCGCGCCTCAAAGAGTCATCAGACCACTACGGGTGGAGCCCAATAGGGTTGATGCTGACACGGAGCCGCGGAGGACTTAACTTAACTGGGATAACGGGTTATCGGGGCTCCAGCTCGAAGGGCAGGCGGGGGGAAGTTGTTGATTTTGCACCCTTAAAAAAGTGCGCTATTTCGCGTCAGTTTTCTGTGAGGCCGTGGTATCCAATTTAATCAGTTCGTTCGAGCCCAAGCGTAGCTCTGTATATTTCTCAGAGAATAATAGATCAACGGCATTATATAAAATTAAGTATGATGTAAATTATAAAAGAACTCCTGAACTACGTCTCTAAAATGATTAATGGAAAGTGAATAAAAGTGTTAAAAGTTTAATCGTTGCTAGCACTATTCTCGAACAAGGGCTCAAGTCGATTTTGTTCGACCCGGGAATCCAATCAGCTGTATGGTTGAGGTTAATTTGTCTTTACTATTTGATCGGAGAATGTTTAATCCCCAAGCGGTCACCGGTAACCGCTCTCCAGTATCTCCATATTTTGAATGAACAAATGGGGTTTTATATCCGATGATTGAGTTAAAATATCAGTACCTACAATAGATATTAGGTACTCTAAAATCAACCTAATTAACATATCCCTTTAGCTTTTAAGAATTATAGCATAGTCATTAAAACATCTACCTACTTATATTGCAATGGGAGCCATTGTTACCGTACAGACAGGTATCCGGTTCATTGCCGCTCCCGACAACTAGTGATGTGACGCGCGGATATTTGGCGGATACTATCCGTCATATAATGGGCTGTAATTTTGATTTATTGAAGTGTCAGTTGGTAATAGAGTGTTATGTGATATTAATGTATTCTTGTTACATACTTTCGCACAGATCTGTTTACAACTGTTTGATAATTGGTAAAATATTATCTACAATACTGGGAACTATTATTTCTTTTTTAGGAATCAAATTCAATCATACTTTTGTGTACTTGAGTTAGAGTACAACATTCTCAGAAAGCTACAACTAAAAGAACTCGGAAAATAATATCACAAATAGAAAATTGCAATATTTTCATGTTCCTTTGAAATCGTATTACCTCGACGCTAGTTTGCACAAACTAGGTACTTCTTCAAAGGAAAAAGCAGATGTACCTACATATTTTTAAAATGAATACTGAAAGTATTTTATTTATGATGTATTATGACTAGTTTATTATATGATTATTCTTTTCGCCATTTATAAATCGACGGTTACGTTTACAATTGGGTAGTTTCCAGGGTATCAAAATTAAAAATCTAATTATCCGTCAGTTAGATAATAAAAAAATAATAGACACGTATTATTTTATCGTATTAAGTTGCAATACTTAGATAAAATGGCGCTAAGTTTAGGAGTGGGGGGTTGTTACGTCATAATGCGCTACAAAATGTGGCATGCTGTGACGTCACACGATATTTCAAATGAATATATCGTCGAAAGTATTTAATTTTGTGAGAAAAGAAAATATACGGAAAGTTTTAAATTAATGTAACAGATGGAGATTACAATAAAATTTAGGAGACTATTCTATTACAACCACTTAACTATCTCAATCTCTGCCTACCCCTTTGGGGATAAAAGGCGTGATGTTATGTAATACGAAAATAACCGCAGTCTATAGTATCCGAATACTCGAATGCCCATCCCTATTGTATGTTAAGCTCATGATCTGTTTGATCAGATGTGGGATTATTGTCTGTTATTGCGTATTACTCTGATAAATTGAGTTCGTATAAGAATGGGGTAAGCAGAGCTCCTGCTAGATTGTGTTTAGCACCTTGCGCTGGATGAAATATTGCTAGGAGTGTTTTATGAGGAGGTTTTACGATATTACTATTTTGTGACGAAAAAGGCTAAAGAGGAGGTTAAGGTTTTGACTGCCAATAGAAAACTGTTGAAGGCAGATCCTCCGTTAACGTCGGTCACCGGTGACCCCCATGGCGTTCAATGTGTTAAGTTTTGCTTTGTTTGACTTGTGCAATCTATACTTATAATAAATCTATAGAGAGGTCAATTCTGTACATAAAATATATTTAAAAAATAACTATCAAGGGGTGGTAAGGGATCGCTACTGATGCCAAAAATGCAATCAGTAAAATTTTTGTCTGTCTGTCTGTCTGTCTGTATGTTCGTTATGGAAACAAAGACTACTCGATGGATTTTAACGAAATTTGGCACAATTATTTTTCATACTCTTGGGCAGGTTATAGTATACTTTTCATTAAGCTACGATCAATAGGAGCAGAGCAGTGAAGGGAAATATTGGGAAAACGGGAGAAGTTACTCCATTTTTTAAGCTTCCGTCGCGTGTGCAGGCTTATAGGTTAAAGCTGCATAGAAATCATGTATAACAGAAATATTCTCCTTAAAATTATATAAAAAATATTCTTCGACAGCATATGTCTATCTTTTATGGTTGACTCACAATAACACGTGAAACTCCCGATAGCTTAGCAATTCGGTGATTTCTGATTGTATTTGTCTACTCTAACGTTCACAATACTCATTCATAGACTTTACGCTGTAACTGAAAGGCCAATGGTTGAAATTAGCTTGACTCGATTTTATAAATGAAAATATGTGAGTTTATGTGTATGTTTGTTACTCAGTCATATTAAACCGACTGAAGGGACCGGAATGAAATTCGGAACAGAGGTAGATTATGGTCTGAAGTGATACATAGGCATTTTACCCCTGGGATCGCGGGCGAAGCCGCTGGCAGAAGCTAGTTATAAATGAAGTTATAGGCAAGGAAGTTAAACAAAAGGCGGACATAATATCACTTAGAAATGATTGAAGCACCAAAATGTCAATGGGCTATTTATGTGTGCGTGTATAATGGGTTACCACCACGTTACCGGACTTAAGAAAATGACAGATGTCCTTCGTGTCAATGTGTGTACGTTCTGTGTGTAACTCTATAGTAGCCAGGGGCCACAGTCATTGTTTCAAGAGACTGTGTATGGTTTTTTTTGGTTATTTGTTTCTATATGGGTTTATTTATCTCATATTGAGAAGTTATTAGACCCCATGCGGCCTAGGCTAGGCTATATTAATTGCTGAAATGTTCTTAAAAATTAATATGTTTAGTATTGTTAATTTAACGTAGATACAATAACATAACATCACGCCTCTTATCCCCAAAGGGATAGACATAGGTGCGCATTATACTACTGCACAATGTAACACCCACTTTTCACTATTTATGTTATGAGTCCCATGTAATAGGCGGTGACCCTATTACCATATACTGGGCACAATTCCAGACTCCGTGCTACTACTGAGAATTTATAAAAACCCAGTGATACTTTGCTCGACCCGGGAATCGAACCCGAGACCCCTTGCCCGGCAGTCGCATTTTCGACCACTCGGTCAACGAGGCAGAAGTAGATACAATAATATAATTTTTAATAATCCCCTTGTCTTGACATGACTTAATTTTTTTAAATCAAAAAATGACAGTATATTCCCTTTTCTCTTTTCAGATCCGTCCGTCTAGTGCGATTCATCGGGAAGAAAATGGGAGAATTCCTTGTAAGACTAACTGAACTCGGCGTCGATCCAGCCAACCTAGAACTTGTAGGCACCAGCTTAGGAGCTCATGAACTAGGGTATGCAGCAAAACATTTCTTCAAAACCACAGGCAAAAAAGTATCAAGGCTAACAGGTTTAGACCCAGCTGGACCTTGTTTCAGAAGCCTAGGACCAGAAGATAAACTGTGGAAAACTGACGCTGAACTAGTCGACGTCATTCATACAAATATAGACGGATTTGGCATAGCAGAGGCATTAGGACATATAGACATTTATGCCAACGGAGGTGAATTTCAACCTAGTGATATTCCCTACATACCTTGCCTAGTGATTTGTAGCCATGTTCGATCTATGATATATTGGTGGCAAGCTTTAGAACACCCTAAGAAGTTCATAGCTGTTAAATGTAATTCTATTCAAGAAGCGAGATTTGCTCAGTGTTTTAACAATACTGAAACTAATTATGTAGGTGTTGAAGCTCAATTTGATAAACCAGGTATTTATTATTTAGCTACTAATAACGAGTTTCCTTACTATATGGGTAAAGAAGGTTTGAAAGAGGAGAATGAGATTTATACTTCTGTTGTCAGAAGAATTAATGATGACGATGGGTTTGTAGCATAGTTTTAGGTTTTCAGGGTTGTTTTAGAGTAATTTGGACTGTGTGCGTGTTGTGATAAAGTTTATAATTGAAGTGGTGTGAGAAAATGAATAAGAAATTGTATAGTACTTGTAATAAGCTTTGTTTAAAGTGTCGTAAAGTACAAATTTGGATATATAAAAGTGTAAATAGTGGTTTTTCACAAAAAGAAAAGAGATGTCCATAGAAGTCACTCAAAGCAAATTATAAAGTCGTTTCAACCCCTTTAACTATATTTTGTCCCTGTCACACATTTGAAATCTGTAATGTGACGTACAGAGACAAAAGTATAGAGATTTTATTCCAGAATAACGTAATTTTTTTTTGTTTCTATTTGACTTCATAAAGTTTTAGTCTTTATCAAGATGAAATAAAGTCTATATTGTCAAGAATTTTATTAATTATACGTATGTTTGTCTGTCTGTGATTGTGATAATGTAATGTGATTACGTGTATTGTATTTAATACATTGTTTATATTAGGAGTAGAACATAAAGCTAAGTACAAACATTTTAGTTTAATTTAAAACACTGGAATAAATTTTATTTACTTTATTCTCCAAGTCTATGCTGGTTAGGTACAGGTCAATTATTATTGTTCTTATCTACTAATTTGTATTAATTATTAACTATTTACATATTATTTAGTAACACAATAACCTTGACTGTTTTGTATTTCGATCCTCATTTCACATCAGCAGCTTTACGATTCTAGCCCAATAAAGAATATGACTTTAAAAGAGACCGACCTCTGAGTTCGTTTCGGCATTTCTTCTCAGAGTAGTCAGTTAGACAATGTCGACCTCATCGTTCGCTTGACAAAATTGACGTGTAAAAGTGCTGCCTTGTAGCCTATTTGCAGAAATAAATTCACTTGTTTCACTTGTAACTTATTGCGATGTAGGTATCTTTTTCAGGTTTTCAGATTAATTCTATGGTAGATGACTAATTTTTATTTTAATGACCGTCTGGTAGATTATAAAAACGTTAGATACGTATTTTTTATTTTCTTAGGAAAATAAATACTTTCGACGGTATATTGATTTGAAATATCACATGATGTTAATTTTGTGTACGTTTTATACTCAAAAATGAAGTAGCTAGCTCCCACTCCTGAACTTGATTGATTCATTTTTATTTAAGTATTGTTTTCTTATACGACAAGATAAAAAATACGAGTCTAATAATTAATAATCTGTTACATGGGACTCATAACACAAATAGTGAAAAGTGGGTGTTACATTAAACAGTGGTTTAATGTGCACCTCTGCCTACCCCTTCGGGGATAAACGGCGTGATGTTATGTTCTAATAATTTTTCGCAGACGAACTAATAAGATTTTTAATTTCCGTACCCTGTCATCATCCCGATTCGAAAATATATAAATGTAAGTAAATAATACTGTGCTCTCGAACTCAATAATTCAATATCATTGACTTGGCTACAATACAGTCAAGAAGAATAATTATGAAATAAAATATTATTGTAATAATTATATTTTATATCATTACCGCTTTGGTATGAGCTGTAACATCCAAAACTGTGATTCTAGTTAGTAAGTTGTGTAATTATTATTATTAAACATGTATTTTATTTATTAAAATAATTCTGTATCTCTTTTTTATTTCGTATCCTAAAAAGTACCTACCTATCTCTATTTTAATTCAAATTGTTGAAGTAAGTAATAGTATTGTTGTGTTATTGAGAAAATTGTTTGAGAATTTCAAGGCTGAAACGAAACTTGGCTTGAATGTTTTGGACATCATTGGACACCCTTGCTGATGTATTAGCAGACTATGTGAGATTTTTCGAACTGAAACGTAGAATAATGTATTTAGGTGTTACATTCACAGAATTGAGACAATTTTAAACAAGAAAACCGCCTATTCCATACGTCCTCTCTGATACGCCTTTGCTTTTAGTAAAAAGAAAGTTTTTATTTATTTATTTATTTAATTAGTTATTTATTTATTTATTTATTTATGCACAACACAGACAGTACACAGGAGAATACATAATCCTTATCCTTATTCCTTATCCTTATCCTTATATCCTTATCCTTATTCCTTATATCCTTATCCTTATAATCCTTATTCCTTATCCTTATTCCTTATTCCTTATCCTTATATCCTTATCCTTATCCTTATCCTTATATCCTTATCCTTATATCCTTATATCCTTATATCCTTATCCTTATCCTTATATCCTTATATCCTTATATTATCCTTATATCCTTATATCCTTATATCCTTATATTCCTTATATAATATTATAAATCTGAAAGTGAGTTTGTTTGTTTGTTTGTTTGTTCCACCTTCACGCCGTAACTACTCAACCGATTGCTTTGAATTTTTGCAGACGTAAAGTTAGAAGTCTGGATTAAATAATAGGGTACTTTTTATCCCGGAAAAATTTGATATTCCCGAGGGAAAACAAAAAGTATTGGTATAGATGGCGCTGTAGGTATGTATTGGTATATGTCACATAGGCTACTTTTTATCCTTTTGTGACGCAAGCGAAGCCGCGGGTAAAAGCTAGTAATATATAAATAATTTGGAGGTACATAGGCACTACATAATCCCGTAGGAATCTCTTCCAGTTCTGCAGTCCATCGACAGGAAAAATAGTAAAAACTAAGACACTGTGTGTAACATAGCATGAACAGAAATAACAAAAATTACCAAAATTTAAGCCAGTAAGTACTTAAACTACATACACAACGTTTTTCATAAAAAAAATAGAATAAAATAATGTATGAAACCACGCAGACTGCGACATCACCTCATGAATAATTTCGCTTCAAAACATCGGACATTTCGCGAAAAACCGGACAATACCAACATTGTAGAGTTGTACTGTTACATGTCTACGTTAATACCAATTCATTTTGGATGTCTACTTTTGGGGATCCGGGGGAAAAAAAAATTATAACATTCAAGAAGGCATGTTTTTCATACTATATTGTATAAAAACGGCGCCTACTAGCATAGGTAATTGGCTCCTGCGTCGTGGATATAGGTACATCAGCCTTTTTTTGAGGGGGCAAATCATCCAATGCCTTCTCCCGCTTTGGGTTAGGCGAGAGGGAGTGTCAGACTCTTATTGAAAAAACAACCCTGTTCCTACTCCTGCTCTTCGAGCCGGTGGCCGGCAACCCGTTAGGCCTTCCGCGGCTCCGTATGACATATCTCAGCCTGCATCAGGGACAACAATTTCTCGATCACACAAAAAATGGTGTCTAAATAAACTCGCCAGTCATTTTGCCACAGCCAATCCATCCATTGCATTAAACTTAGCAGTACGGTCTCCTATTGATTTTAATTTAACCCTTTGAGTATCGTCATCACCATTATAGACACAATTAACTCGTCGAGTACCGTATTTATAGACACAATTAAAGAACAATAGGTTGCGGTCACCGGTGACCGCTTGGTGTTTGACAGTTTAAAGAACAATAGGTTGCGGTCACCGGTGACCGCGCGGTGTTTGACAGTTTAAATAATTATCTTCCCAAAATATGTTGAAAATGAAACCAAGTTCCACAAAAAATACATAATTCCTCACAATACGGAACCATAACAAAAAGATACATTTTAAATCATCCAATTTGCAACATAATCCTGGGCCCAAGTGTCGGTCCCCTGACATCGGCAGTATAGATTAAACGCGGTCCCGTAATGAATTCAAAATGTTTTCATTTCGTCACTTTCATGTTTTGACTATGTACCCCCACTCTCCGGGGATTCCACGAAGTCATACGTTGGGATTGAAGTTGATTGAGTCTGTTTTATATAATAAAATTAAACTCCAATTCACAGCACAGTAAATACTTTTATTTCACTTTAATATAGGTCGGTCAACTAACATAGTTTCCATTAGATAAGCAAGTCTATTGGTTTTACCAAAAATGAGAACAAATGATGGTAAAAAAATGCTCACATTTGAAGGAGCACAGCTTTATAATAAAATACCTTCACGCATAAGAAACCTGCACTCATTCAACGCATTCAAAACTCAGCTTTACAAATATTTACTTCTTAATCAAATACCCGAAAACTGAATGTGTTGGATGGGACTTGTTTATTGTCATGGTTTGTCCAGATGTTGTCGAACCTAACCTTACCTACCTATGTTGTTATGTTCTCAAGTAAGTGACATGTATGTTATTATTGAGAATTAAGATTCTTTAAACCTAGATAACTTATCGCCTCGATGCTTAACCGATCAATGACCGAGCTCCTCACTCAAAAATCTTATTATTATTATTATTATCACCCCACCACTCTCGATTACTTCCGGAAGTTGTCACGAAAGAGTACGGTCGAGTAGAGTTACTATTTAAGAAAAGTAAAAATATATATTATAATATTATTACACTGCATATTATAAAGTTATTACAATATAATATAAAATTATTACATTTAGATATCTTGTTTATGGTATGGTGTATCAGTGTATGGTATCAACTGGGGAACAGTGTGTGATACATCGTAGGTATTTTTTTTTTAAGGGGGAAAATCATCGAATGGCTGCTCCCGCCTGGGTGAGGCGGGAGGGAGTGTCAGACTCTTACTAACTAAAAACCACCCCGTTCCTTCTCCTGCACGTCGAGCCGGAGCCCCGGTTACCCGTTAGGTTCTCCGCGACATCTTGTTTGGTGTAAGATTGTATTGTATTGTGTTGTATTGGGATGGTATGGTGTGGTATGGGTGTGTGTTGGTTGACAAAGAGATATTCAGTTGTGTATGTAATGCTACCTATAGATTTTGCCGGCTTTCTTCTATGCCTATGTCATATTAACCTCTAGGTGTAGGCAAAGTTGCAAATAGGTAACTAGCACCCACTTTTCACCAGATTTGGTATAATAAGTGATGGTGTATGTTATAAGCCTGTTGCTATACACTATATATAATTTCAAACTTTGTACTATTACATAACATCAGGCCTTTCGTTCCCGAAGTGGTAGACAGAGGTATCTACATATT